ATCTTATCATCTTAAAGACTTAGTAACCAGACCCGACCAGACCCACTGTCTTCCAATTCGCTTGAGGCAGCTCACAGCGATGTTACCATCCGTGACGACGAGTATCTTATTGCACATGGGGCTTCGAAGTGGATCAAGCCGGAGAAGGTTGCTGATTTGAAAAGGAAGGGCAACACAGGCCTGCGCAGTTGGAGTCACCAGTTGGAATGCACATTATGCTGATATTATGTTTTGGGGCACACCTTTGCTTCAGCTCATTGCGCATGTGTCCCACCCAGCCTGACCAGGATCAAGCTCCCCAGGTTTCACGGTTTGTTTTAGCAAGGGATTTAGACCGTTTTGCCCATGCCGAGCAATTTGACGGACCTGCTAGCCCAGCATGGCTTTGACCAGGACCAGTGATTCAATGGCCTAAACTTCAGCTGCAACCTCCCAAAGCCCAGCTCTCGTCTCCCTTCCCACGCAGGACTTTGGTGGGCTTGCACTGTCTGATGAAGGGGCCACGAAGACCCCACCATGCAAGCAGGCCACAGGGACAAGGGTTGCTGGTGACAGGTTCATCCCCACACTGTGCTCACCGGACCAGGCTCAGCCTTCACCACGATCTTCCCATTCGTCTGGCACACCAGTTTCGCCGCCTGTGCCAGTGCCAGTGCAAACAACACAGGCAGGCAATCGATTTGCGGCTGGGTCTTTTCTGGAAGGCTGTTGTCATACCAAAGAAAATTCTGAAAGGCTTTTGTCATATCATAGGAAATGTGTTGCCAGAATCATGCTTTGTCACAAAATTGCCTTTTAACTCCCAATCATTGAAACCAATACTTCTCTCTGACTGTGGTGCAGGATCAAAAGAACAGGAGAGAATTGGTGGAGCCAAAGTCTTTGGCCCTTACTAATGGTGAGGATGATGGCCAAGGAAAGCCCAACGAGCCAAAAGCAAAGGAACCAAAGCCAACAGTTCCTATGACAACAAGTGAATGCAATGAGAAGACCAACCCAGTGTTGACGAGTGCCCAGATCGAACAATTACAAAATGAAGTGGACGGCGCCTCAAAACCGAAGAGAGGCAAGAATGAATATGCCAAGAACACTGAGGAGATGAGCGGCACAAAGGAAGAAGATGGTAAACCTGCAAAACAGAAGAAAGACAAGAAGGAAGATGACAAGAACACTAAGTCGAGCCGCCAAAAAAAGGAAGATGATGATAGAGAAGACAAGAAGGATGAAAAGAAAAAGAAGGAGAGCAAGGCAGCTGCAAAGGTCAAGGCGTCGAAGAAACCCCAACCCAAAAAGAAGTCAAAGAAGAACGAATCAGAGGAAGAGGAAGAAGACAACGAGTTAGATTCAGAAGAGCCGCTGTCGGAGGAGTATGACGACTTGCCAGACTGTTCATCGGATGAAGATGAGCCTGCTGATGAACCACCCAATGGCAAGAAGGATGAGAAGGACAAGGAGGGGGCGAAGAAGAAGAAGAAGAACAATGATGCGATGCCAAAGAACGAGGGACCGAAGGACCGAAGATCATTCATCAAGAATCTCGTGGACAACTTTGACGATGAGACGGACCCAAAGGGCGAGAGTGGCAAGGCGAAGAGAAAGCATGATGCCAACGAGGAGAGTGGCAATGCAAAGAATGGTAAACATAATGAAGACAAACAGAAAAGGAAGGCTGTGGCGAAAGAGTGCTCCAAGAAGAAGAAGAAGGAGGAAGAAGAAGATGAGAAGGCCAAGGCAGAGGGCACAAAGAAGGAAGCAGAAACAAGCAGGAACCAAGAAAACATCGCCAAGCCGCACGACCAGAAGGGCATGCCATCAACTGCCATAAAAGGCAGTGGAGGTGTCCCAGAAGTACCACTCCCATTCAATCGAGATGAACTTCCCAAAGAGCTCCATGCCAAATGGGAAGCCATGCTCAAAGAATTTGAAGAGCACAAGAAACAGAAGAAAGAAGCCAATGAAGCCAAGAAGAAGGATGCCGAAAGCAAGGAGGCGGCCGAGCTTGAACATGCAAACAAGATTGGGGAGGCACAAGGCCAAGGGAAGGGTGCAGAGAAGGCAAGAAGAAGGAGGGCGAAACCAGGAGATTCCAAGCCAATTCAGCAGGAGGAAGGGGGAAAGTCAGCTGGTCACAATGAACGCAGTGAGGTGAATGGTGAGAAAAATAAGAAGAGAAAGGCAGCCAAGAAAGAGAAAGAGGAACAGAATGTGGCAAATGAGGGACGTGAGGCTTCAAGGGCTCTTGGCCGTTCATCGAAAGAGGGGAAGAAGAAAGCAAAGAAGACTGAGCCTGAGGATGGTGATCAAGCCTCAAACAAGGATGATGGTGAAGAGGGTGAAGACTCTGATGCTTCTACGCCTGTTCTTGGGCAGGACAAGTTGTTTCCGAGCGTTTCCGTTTCCGATTGCATTTCCAACAACAGCAACAAGTTGCCGTTTTTTTAAGGCCACCTTATAGTAGTCATTGACCAACGGCTGAGCTCTTTCAACCAGACTGGGTGACTGTTCAAATCTTGAAGCAAGTTTTCAACTTCTGGCCCACCTCAGGAGGCAAAGTCGAAGGCAAAGGCAGAAAAGAAGCGCAAGGCCATGCGACCTTGCAAATTGCAACAATTACAGTTACAATATCTTCCAGGGTCTTCCAAAGTATCACAAACCAAAAAGGTTCCCACCCTCCCTCACTCTATCACTGTTTGTATAGGCGGGTGTTCTTGGACGTGTGGGCCTTCGCGAAGCCTACTACCACCACATCAAGGATGCGACGGTGCGATTGAAGGCTGAGAGGCCTGACCTCTCGCCGAAAGAGATCCTCGCACTGGCTCGCAAAGAGTGTTGCACTCAATTTCATTCTCCAGTTACTGTCAGCAATGTGTGTTTGTTTGGCAGATTAGATTGATTCACTGATAAGGTGGCGGGATCACCCAGAACGGGTGAATTCCATCAAGAACATGAGCAATAGCGAGCTGAGCCGTAGGAGGCTCAAAGTCCATAAGTCGGCAGAGTCTAACAACGGCGGAGAACCTGCTGCAGAGCAGGAAGCTGAGGGTGCTAATCCTGAGGCCACAGCCAGTGACAGTGCAAATTAGATTATGGCGTGGCCTTATGCTAGTTATAGTTTTGTAGGGGTTTGGCAGTTAGTCGTGAGGGAAATGGTTTGTGTGCGCTATAGACCTTGACTTGATACTATGTTGGTCCAATCAACCTCTTGTTGCTGCCTTCAAGCCTAAGCGCTCGGGACGCCAAAGACTGCCGTGCAATAGGCAATTCTTTCTAGTATGCCATGTGTTTTGGGACCACTGAGAGCAGTGGGCCGTTTGGAGTTCCTTAGACCTGGAGTGCTTTTCAGCACTTCAGCCTGGAAGAGCCAGTCTTCAAGATCGCAATTGGGGAAGATGAGAAACATGCCAGTGGCTTCACTCGGCATGGGTGTACTATTTTTGGGTGCAGTATGTATTGCAGTATGCATTAGGTGCTTGCAGCCACTTAAAGCGAAGCTTCCTGTCAGGCGATTTGCAGCGAACCATGCCATGTGAATGGTCCTCGGACCTCGAGGAGGTTGTGCTGGAGGTCACTGAGAACAAGAGTGTCATGGACACAAAAAAGTCTTCATGGCGAGATCTCTTTCATGAAATGGAAGACGCAGGCCTTGTGGATGTGAGTATCAACGGTCATGACTGTGAGAAACCGGGCTCTGGCAGTTCTGAGGGTCCAACACTGAGTTTCTTTCTTCCGTTTTTATTTGATATTTGATTTGATATTAGTCCGTAACTGACTTATGAGCTGTCCCTTTGACTCAGGAGATGATTACTTCATGATAAAGATAAAGCCGACTGCAGTGTTCTACCAATGGACCCAGCCCAATGGACTCAATGGGCTCAAGTATTCCAACATCGCCTCTGCCTTCCCCTGCCAAGTGTCCCAACTTCAGTTAGTAGGTGGTCCCATGTTGGTTGTGTTGATCATTGCTTGATATTGTTGTCTTTTAGGCTCTTGATGAATCAAGAACCTTGATGAAAGCATGGAGGGTCGTCTTCGTCAAGGAGACCAAGGTGTCTATGTCGCAGAAAGCAATGTGATTTAATGTGATGCATAGAAAAACAACAACTCACTGTGCCCACTTCCATCGGGCTTTGACTTGAGGAAGTCTCGCCAAGACACAAAACTGCACTTAGTAATTGGTGAAGGCAGCAACAAAAGGTCTATTGAAAGAACGCATTAGTATGTAGTTGAGTGCACTGTTGTCTGAGGAAAGCCGCTGTATTTTCCCCGACATCAGTTCACTATGTCCAATGAGCAAGTGATTCGATTGCTCTGAGTCAATGAAGTTTGCTGCCTCAGAAATGGCAGTTTTTGCTGAGTTCACGACTCTGGACACAGTGGATCGCCCCGCTTGAAAAGATTGCTGCTTAGGGCACAGCTGCGGTCACACGACAGGTTGTCACACAAAACCCTTTTTAGAATCTTTGGAACAAGAGAATCCACCAAAAAGTCTGAGACCCAAATACCATGATATGAGACCCAAATCCAATGAAATTGACTTATAGATTATACTCATCTATACGCTCTCAATATAGATATACAAAATCTTGATCACCACTCAACCGTGTGATGTACTGTGCACCCTACGGGGGCCCTACGTCCACCTGTCCGTCCCACCTTCCATACGACTGGAGCCCTGGAGTATCGAGCTTTCACTGTTAACGTCGTTGAGCTTCCAACAGTCGTTGAGCTTCCAACGCTTGCACATCACAACTAAAACACAACAAAAGGCATCCCAAATGACCCTGATCTTGTGGCTCGACTCAGCTAGTCGATCCGATCGTATATCCGTGTTGCACCTTGGGCAGTTTGTCTCCCACCAAGCTGGGTCATGTAAAGCTATGATTGGTTGATTCGTGTTGATTTGTGCGGTCGCCGCGGTTGAAGTGCGGCCTCCGAGTGCCGAGGAGTTCAATTGACCAGAGCGCGCATCTGTCCGATCCAGACCTTCCATGCCCAGGGGCGATTCCATCAATGCTCGGACCTAGCGCTCGGCCGAGCTCGGACGTGCAGGACGTGCAGCTCAATACGTGCGAACAGGTGCGAACATCTTGTGTTCTACCAACGTTCCAGGAACCAAATATGCACACGAGTCCGGAGTCGCATGGTGTTGGGTGGTTCTTAGTCCGGTGAATGCTCTCGGACTGCTGTCACGGGGATTTCGAAGAAAACCCCGTTACTCACCGTCTGCGGGTGGCAGGGCGGTGGAAAAACGGCCGAAGCCCAAAGCGATTGGTTCGCTTTGTTGCCATGGCAACGACCCAGTGTTCGCCCTCTCCCTTGGTTTTCCTTATCTATATAGTGGGTAATGCTACTAGCAAAGGCCCTTCTCAAAAATCGCTACAGTATATGTTTTTCTTACCGACTGTTGCTATCGGGGGTGCCCTCCAAAATCCGAAAACAGGGAGGTTGGCCTTAACTTGGCTCGTTGGCCTCGACCAATGCCTTTTCTCAAGCGAAACGGCACCCGATGAAGAACATCGACGCGGTCCCCGAGGCGATGTTTCTGACAGTCCAGCGGTCCCGAGTCAGCGGTGGAAAAAGAACGCCCTGGGCAGGTCGTGCAAAAAGGATGCCAAATTAGGAAAATAGATCACAGCCCCATTCCCTGGATGGAATGCATGCATTATCTGTTTGATATATATATATATATACTATGAAATACTATTGATATACTATTACGGTATCATAATATCTCTGTAACATGTATACATAGAGTTCAAAGTGTTGTTTTATTCTACAAGTAGTCAATGACAATGAAAAGCCAAAGAATCCATATGTTGATAGGTTTTGGTCTTCCAGAACCGCTTGGAGGATGTATGCGCACAGGATGCCTTGTGATGCTATCATTGCAGGTGTGTGTGTGTGTGTGTGCGGACGCTCCCCAAATGAGCCGCTTGCATGGACTGCCGCATGGTTGAAAACGGTCCACATTCGGCATCATGCGTTTGAAAATATGTTTGACTCATTTGCTTTGTGGCTCATCGCAAAGTCAGTCATTTGCCCAGGTATTTTAGACCTTAGCCGGCTTGTTTCAGGCCCGCCTGAGCTGGTGGATACACGTTGCCGCCCTATGGATACTCGTTGGAACCGAAACACACCAGCCACCGAAACACCACCACAAATCGGCTCTAAATGAATCCTTCGGGGGATTCATTTACCTCAAGCGCCAAGCGCAACGCGTGGAACGATGATCCTTCAAAACAATCCACGCAAATTGATACATTGCTGGTCGCTGGTTCACTGCTCGAACTGTCACACTATACACTATATACACAGGTTGGGTCTATCCGTGTCTATCCGATTATTACCTGTAACAGTGGATGATGATGGTTAGGTTGCAGGCCTTGCTCCAAACGGAGTGATGTGCTTTGTTTACGGGTCCTGTTACAGGTCAGTTCGGACCAACCCATACACACAAAAGCGCACATATAGACTTGTTTCATCGATGTATGTGACGACTATTGGCAGGAAAACCTCGTCCCTCGTCCAGTCCCAGATGCTGCAGTCAGAAATTCCCAGAAGAACAGCTTGCCCTTCTTCTCGCGATCCGCACTGGCCAAGACCTCCTGCAGATCTTCAAACGCACGGGAGTCATTTCGAGCGACGCCATCGGTCTTGGACGTCCACAGACCCACCTGGCGAAAGGATCCTCACACAATGGGCTTGGCCCGAATGGCACTTCGAACAACTGTGGCACTTTGAGGTCTGGCACCCACCACCCTACGAAGGGATGGTATTTCAAGGTCTGGCACCGGCACCCATCAATTAAGAACAACTTCCTGGCACCATAAGGCCATGCCTACCAGAAAGCACAACAGCACCCGAATGTCTTCCAAGGGCTGCAAAATTGAAGGTAGCAAGATGATGCTGAGATGCAAAACGACGTCACACCATATTCTGAGTTCTCCAGGAAGCTCTTCTCAAGGCAAATGATGTCCCAAATTCGCCAGTCACCAATGTTTCTCCAAGATTTTGGAGGATTCAAATCCCAAACTCTGACATCAACTATCCCGAACTCCTCATCATCAAGTGCTAAAAACGGTTTCATTTGGACCACCCAGTCTGGACCCCGTGACTGGTCCGAACCCACACCGAGAGGTCTGACACCTGGAGGCTCTCGGAATCGCTTTCAGTGCATTCTCCGGCGATACTGCTGACCAAGGCCTCCACCTGAGGAGCAGCTCGACTGGTGGAGCTGAGCTCGCTGCTCGATGAGCAGCTCGCTGCTCAGTGGATTGGATCGTGTCGATCTCCAGCCGAATGGTATTGAATCACGTTTATAGTAGCTTCTTGTTCCTAGTAGTAAGGCCAGGAGCCCCTAGTAAGTAGCGATGCCCTTTGTTCCTACATGTGGAAAAGATATCTGGGTCGAATCCAAAATTGGAGGATCTACGTGTCGACGCGATGTTTAAAAAAAGTGTCGTAGAACGTGTCATAGTTCACGTCTTGTTTTGTTCTTTTCTTTCGGCTTTGGGGTGTCTGAAGCGTCTGACCAGTGTCTCGACGCGTGTCCGACGCATATGTGTCGTCGCAGGCTGCCAATGCCAAGCACGATGCTGAATGGAATGAGGGAAGAATGAATGAGCTGTCAGCATCAGCATTCCTTCAGCATTCCCTTCCTAAGAAGTAGCAAACAGTAGCAGTGAGAAGTCATGGGGAGTCTATGGGAACCAGTCTAATTTCCTTTGGATACAACACCCTGCACTGAGAGGAGACTAGGCAAATTTGTTGCTGTTGCATCCGCCAGGTTTGAATCCAGGCCGAAAGCATCGGCTACTGTGAAGACAATAAGTTATAAAAGAAATTGAACAACTACATCAAGTCATTCTCACGCGTATGCCCAATTGACTTTAAAATGCAATTGATCAAAACGGGTGGATTACATGGATACCGTTAAAGAATTTGAAAGAACAAATGTACTCCCTGGAAGTCAAAGACCATGTTTAAAATGGTTGATCTGGTTTTGTAGTGTAAAGCCCTTAGTAAAACAATGGTGGTTCGGTAAAGGCTATTAAACAATGGTGGTTCGACTTCCAGGGTACTGACATAACTATACTGACATATACAGTATATGTTAGGGACTTGGTCGGCCTCTTTAACTGTTGGGCCAGGAACAGGGGTGGGGACTATTTATAAATTTGGTGGGACTATTTATACATTTGGTGGGGACTATTTATATAAATCTCAAGGTATCAGCTTGGGTAACATACCCTTCACACAAAAGTTCTCAAACAACTGCGTGACTGGCATTCAAAAACCAGCGAGCCTTGAACAGTAAAGTTCAACTGAAACACCACACTCACACACACACAAGTCCCATCAAATGCCTCAAAGCACTTTTTCCATCATCCGTCCCGGTCCATCCCCAAAGAGTGAGCTCCCGGACACCAATCTGTCCACATGCAATGCGTTTCAGCACTGACTAACATGGGACAAAAGTGGTGACAGCCACAAAACCCCAAAACTCATGAGTGAGCACTATCTGGCTCACCTCTCACTTCTTGGAAACCTTTTTGGCTGCAGGCTTCTTAGCTGCAGCGGCCCTTTTGGGCTTGTCTGGCTCAGCTGCCTTGGAAGCTTTGCGCTTGGGTGCACTTGACGGCGGATCCATCTTCCTAGGCTGACAAAATTCTGCTAGTACTGCTACTGCACTACTACAGTGCAGTTGCAATACTGCAGAGAATGCTGGAAAGGGGAAATTCAGAACCTCAGAATCAAAGTCAAAAACTAAGGTAACATAACATAACATAACATAAATAATGAACCAATGAATCATTCATTATCATATAACCCGGACACTATCATATCATAATTTTCTTAATATATCCTGGGTCCTGGACATATAATGTGCGTCTGTAACAGTCCGGAACAATCATCTGGATATTGGATCAGTGGTCCTGTCACCCTCACAGAATAAAGACAAAAGAACCTGGTGAAGTGCTAGGTCCCTCCACAACCCTCACCCTACAATCTAAGGATCACATCCTCTTCCTCAGTTGCTTCCTGAGCAAACTTGTTGAAATGTGTCAACAGGTTTGCGGGCAAGTCCTCCTTTGAGATGCCACAATGCTTGGCCAAGTAGGTGCTCACTTTGCGAGCGCTGTCCAACTTGTTGGGATAGTCTCGGCCACGCAGCACGCAATCCAATGTCATCACAACACCAACGGTCATGGCTGAGACCTTTCTCAACTCCTGGAAAGAATGAACATAACTGGGTGACAGCCAACAGCCAAACCAATATCAATTGACAATGCTGCTGCACTGCTGCCTGAATAAATCAAAAAATCCAAAATGTCACACTCACATGTACACATGTTTCCAAGTTTTGGGAGACAAGAGGTGAGGTAAACAAGATGTCCTCCAGATCCTTCTTGATGGGGCCAGCCCTGCTGACCAAGGCGTTCAACCCCAGCTTGTTGCTTGCAGCAGCCCTGAAGGTCATGATGACTTTGCCAATCTCAAGGTAGGGCACTGAGTCATTCCTCCAAGCAACAATGTCATTCATGTGAAGCTCCGTCTGCTTTTGAGCCTCTTCCGCAAATGGCCACTGGAGCTCAGAGATGTTCCAATGCTCAGCATGCTCAATCAGTGGACTGCACAGGGAGCACTCAAAGCAGCTGGTCCCAATCAACAAGAAAACACTTGTGAATGAGTCCAAGTCTGGTCACAATGACAGTTCAACAGCTGTCTTGGAGTTAACAAACTCATCATGGCCCATGACCTCATGGCCCAGACCTGCCTGTACTTGTGAATGAGACCGGCACCCTTCTTGATGAACTTCTCAGAGGAAACGAACACCTTCTCCAAGTGCGCCTCCACCTCTGCCTGGAACGTGCGAAGTTTCTCCTCGACACCCGGAAAAAATAGTTTGATGTCCTCAATGGCCAAAGAAGATAGTGTCATCATGGACTTCACAGCCTGGCATGTGTGGGACATCTCCTCATCAAGCTTTGCAGTCTTGCCCTGGGTCACATCATCCAGAAGCTTCCCCTGCTTCAACACATCAAGTGCATTCTGGAAGTCGGGGGTTGCCTGGATCTTCATGGACTGAACCTTCTCAAGTGCAGCCGCAGCACCGCTCTCCAAGACAATCTTTTTGAGGAAGGATTTGCCTTCCTGATCACATAGCAATGTGAACCGGTCACATGCCAAATTTCCATCAGTCACCCATCTTGGAATGATCTCGAGGCTCTGACAGCTGTTCAGCACTGTCTTGAGACTGCTCAAGGTAGCAAAGAAAGTGCTCAAATCTGGTGTTTCAGTCGTCACAAAGTCCATCAGAATAGTCGACAAGTCTGAGGCAGCCCGGTACAAAGCCCTCGGAGTTGTCTGGATCAGGTGCACGTTTACAAGTCCTGCAGCTGCAGAAAGAACAACAATGCAACAAATAACTGTCCAGTCCAGAAACATACAGGTCCACCATTGCTTGCAACAGCAGTTCTGGAAACAAAACATCATGAAAGCATGGGATTTGTGGGTCAGTCCTCGCACTCCATTCTTCCACAAACACTCCAGAAATTGTGGTGCCTGGGAAAGCTTCAAGCATGTGGTGTTCAGCCAGAGCTTGGACAGTTCTTCTTCAAGAGATGATGGTTCATTGAACTGCTCAATCAGCGTCTTGACTTTGTCAATGGACTTGGTCAGGTTGTCAGCCTTCTCATCTGCACCTGTCTTTGTAGAGTGGTGCAGCATGTTCTTGACATCCTGGACAGCTGCACACTCACTGATCTGCTTGGAGACTTGTTGGAGGGTCTTGACATCACCCTGGTCAATCAGGGAAGCCACTGCCTCCATCTTTTGAATCAAGGAATCACAGGTGTCGAATGCTGTATCCTCTGTCAGACAACGCTTTGCGGCCTCAAGTGCCTCGCCCCACAATCTCCTGCATGGGCACTTAGGTGACAGGAAGTTTGGATGTCTCACAGGATTTGTCAAGAGGAATTCAGAAAAATTAGAATGATGTGTCTGTGTTGTCAATGATATGATTTGATACTAAACATAACATTTAACATGAAATGTAAAATAAATCCATTGTCCCAACCCTGTCTTGAGAGTCAGATTTGTGCGAAGAACCAGCGAGCATCTAGCAGATGAGGATCCGTGTGATACAATCGTCTTGATCCCCGCAATCTTCTCTTGAGTGAGGGTCCGAGCGGCCCCATCTGAAGAATTTAGCAATGCGCAAGCCAAAAGCCGCTGCAGATCAACCAGGATCTTGGAGCACAGCCCGGACTTGTTCTCAATCTCACTGTTCTCCAAATTGATCTCAAGCTTGTCCTTCACAGTGATCCTGCAAGGCAACTCAGTCAGTCAATAAGCAAATAGGAGGCAGGGGCAGGCATCAGGCTATCAGGTTGGGTGCCTTGGTCTTGACCTTCACCTTTACCTTTCATGACACATGTGATGTGACATGTGTTCTCAACAAACACTTGTGTCCTGACAACCTCAGGCAACCACAGAGAGTTGAAAAAGGTGATCAGGGAAGAGAGCATTGCTGCAATGCTTTGGTCTGTGCCTGTTCGACATCGATCAATGAAGCCGTTCCAAAGGTTCACCTGAAGCTGCAAAAGGCCATCTCCTGAGCCTGGCAGTGTGGCGTTGCGCTTGAACCACTGGCACAAACTCAGCGCGTTCTCATGTCCAGCCACTGTGCTTGAGGCGCTCAAGAAGCGGAAGAAGTAGCCATCTGATCCAGGGTTGAAGCATGCCTCACATATCTCTAGTCTGACAGTCTGACTGACAGACTGGGAGTGACTAGTCAAGTTTCAGGTGACAAACCAAACCACACAAATGAAACACAACAGGAAACACAGGATTCAGGCCCTCCCATCAAACTATGTGACTGAAATCACGTTGAGCTGCCTCTGTCAGAACTCGGCCAGCTTCAGTCAACATGGCAAAAGTGCAGTCAGGAGGTAGCTTGCACAAATTGTCAAAGGTGTCCTTGTCAGTCTTCAGGTTCCCCTCATTGTCAGCTGCGCCGACTCCGCCAAGCAGAGTCTTGAAGCTGCTCAAGAGACTGAGCTCCTCAGTGACCTTCAAAGATGTATCCTCCAATCGTTGGCACAAACTCTTCACACTCTGGGTAGCAAAAGGGGAGGGCTTGCCAAGGACATCCACAGCCTCCATGGCACGCTTGAGCTTTGACTCAATGTCCTTCTCCTTCTGTG